ATATATATTTGCAGTAGTTGATGATTTTACAGTACATGATTTTACATTTACCCAGTAATTACAATTCATGAAGTGTCATTTTACCTCCAATACTGCTGCTTTCAACACCGCAGCTGCTTTCCACACAGTAGCTGCTCTCTACACAGGTGACGCTGGTCCACATAAATACATTATGTTGTCAACACTATCACATACACCTGTATTTGTACGGGGTGTATGTGATGAGGTGGGCGCAATGATGTCATCGCACCAGGTACTAGTATGTGGGCGTATCTGCATGTGAGCAGACGTGCCTGGAGATGGATAGAGCAGCAGTGTCTCAGTTCCTAAGACCATCGGAAATATGTGCTTTCTGGTGGTCTTAGGTGACCCTTGTGAAAAGGTCGTTTAACCCCAAAAGGGGTAGAAACCCACAGGTTGAGAACCACTGGTCTAGAGGTCTCAAACTTAATTAGTCAGGCAAGTTACACAAGTGTTAAGAAACTATATGAGTGGTGGGTGGTGGGCTTCAGTAAGAGTGTGTCTACTGACTAAAGGTCTTAAATAAAATTTTAGATAATTCTTCAACCCAAACTGCCTTGTTGAAGCTCTGGTGTTGCAGAGTTATAGTGAGGGAGCCTCTTACCTAATCCCTTACTTGACAGGGGCCAACACTGGGGCCCAGAGAGGGACTGTAGCTATCTAGTTCTGCTATAATGGAAATACCACAAGTGGAAGCGTTTAACAAACAGAAATTTATTTCCTCACTGTATAGGAGCAAAAGTATAAATACAGGGTGCCAGCTCTACAGGAAAGCCTTCTCGCATTGTTGGTTTTGGAGGACAATCCTTATCTCCTTTCAACATCTGTGGGTTTAGCATCCCGTGGAGATCTCCATGTATCTTGACATCAGTCTTGCCTTGGGTTTAGGAAGTTCACAGCATAGGGGCCCTGGGTCCCAAACACACGTTCCACTCCCAGCTTTACTTTCTAAGTAGTACCTCTCCCTACTGTTTTCTCTCTTGTAAAATAGAAGGTGTTGCCAGCCACACCTTAGGGAAACTGTTGTGGCATCCCACCCTGATCCCTTGCAACTGATTAGCTGATCACATCAGATCATATTGTGATGCATGGCACGTATCTTGGGGAAACAATTAAATCCATGACACCTTTTGAGTCTCAGAAGTCATGGCAGGCTGATTTTGAGACCAGAGCAGCTGTCTTGTCACATACTCTTTGTCTCTTCAGCTTCTGCTTCCTGGTGTCTTGGCGTCTCCACCTCTTGAACCATTTAGACAAGTCCAACCTCTGTCCTGCAAGGGCAAATGATACAAAGCTCTTTATCTCTACTAATAAACAGTTGTAGGCAACTCATTCACCCTGTTGGCCCAGACCAGAATATACTCAATTCTCTTACTCCGTGGATCCACAAGCTAGTCTCCACCAAGTGGCTTGAGGCACGCCCCTCTACCTGGAAGCCTCCTTGCCCAAAGGCACTTGGCTATTTTGCTCCCTGGTTTGGTTCTTGTGCCATTTGTGTCATTCTCCTAGTTCTGCTGTAAATGTTTCCCTGCTGCTTCTGCCCATCTGCACCATCTCCAGTGTTACAGCTATCCTCACTTCCAGCTGAGTCCTGACTGGAATTCTCTTAGGTGTCCAAAATAATACCAATAGTCTCTTTAAGGCAATCTAGGCTTTCCCTATGAATCCACTGCCTTCAAGTCAATTCTAACTGATAGTGATATAGGCTTTCCAAGGCTGAAAGTCTCATCTTTCTTGCTCAGAGGAGTAGCTGGGGGAGGGTGGGGGTGGCGGGGGTAGGGGGAGGGTGGTGTTGAAAGCAGTAGTTGCCACCAGAGCCTCTCTACTCATTAACCAATTACAAAGCCACTTCCATATATTAGATGTTAGAGAAGCACCTCATTTACTCAGTACTACATTCGGTCTTAGTGCTTCTATCATAGAAATACTATAAACAAACGGAAATTTTCCTACAGTTTAAGATTTTCTCTCTGTTGGCTCAAAGGAAAGTCTGTCTGCTTTGAAAATTCTGGGTGACAATTACTTCCCATATCACTGCTTTAATCTCTTTTATATCACACACACACACACACACACACACACAAAGATTCTCACAGTACAACCTAATCCTGCCATATTAACATAACTGTCTCTAACCCTATCTCCTTAACATACTAGAGGTGTGGATTTACAATGCATGGGGTAAGTACATCAGACTTAAATAAAACTGCCCATTGACAAATTTTGGGAAGACACAATTCAGTCCATACCAGGGTTTTTCTCCTCTGCTGGGAAACTGTAGAGGCAATGTGGCTATTGCAGAACCTGTCCTGATAGCTTCTTAAGTGAATGAATTTCTCTTGGATGCCTAGGTGGGTGAAGAGAGTTGGCAATACGTAACAAAGCTGCTGCCTTCTTGTGCTGAAGCACTGGTCTCCATCACCTCATCCCAGAGCTGTCTCAGGGATAGAAGCCAAGACAATGCTCTTTGGGTCTCACCAGTCAAGACAGAGCCCAGATTCACAATGTCCACCTAACCTCAGACGGAGCAGCAAGGAAGCAGGGTGCCTTTTATACTTCTCTGCTCTTCATGAACCCCACTACTGTGAAATAGAGATAAAGCAGACAATTTTACGGATAATAGCATCAGTAAGTACTTATGTTGTTCTTACTATGTTCCAGCCAATCTGAGCAGCAATACTATTATTATCCAGTTTTATAGATAAGAAACCTAAAGAACAGAAAACGAAATAACACCTCTCCCTCCACCGAAACAAACAAACAAAACACCCTGTCTTGTAACCCAGTTGCCTGGTTCTAAAGCCACTTTTTTTTTTTTTTGCACTGCTCAGTGGTACTCCTGGAGTGCGCGAGCATGGCAGGACTAACGCTACTTTGCCTTTGAAGATTAGGGAGGCTCCTCTCTGAAGCTCAAAGCAAGATACAAACTACAATCTCAACAACGGAAGCCCCCCAACCAATTGAATGAGTTTGTAATCTGCCTTTGGACCAGGGCACAGGCTCTTTGTGCCATCCAGGGTCACCATTGTGGTGGGTACCCCTGCCTGCCAGGCCCAGTGCACAGCCCCTGTCTGTCTACTAGAACTGGGCATCTCATTGAGAGCGGCCCTCATTGAAGGTGAGCCTTTCCTGAGCCTCTCATGAAAGCAAAGCTAGTAGGCTCTTTTCTGAGAGTAATTTTCTACAACCCTTAGAGTGGATCTGGACCACATAACCGTCCCTCCTGGAGTCACCCTGGTCTTGGAGGCAGCAAAATCCATCTATGAAGATGGAAGGGAGAGGGGGTGGGGAGGCAGCAAGGCCTTGATGGATGCGATGTGGAAGGGAATGGTAGGCTTGGTCCCCTGGAAACAGCGTGAGGTGTGGGAGGAGGTTAGAGTAAGGGAAGGAAGGCTCTGTTCGAACAGTTCAGCCTAGTGGGGGTAGTTGGGAGGTCCAAACAGTTAAAGCCTAAAGGGCAGTCTCCAGGCTGGAGGCGGGGAAGGTGGGGGGCACTGATTATCCTGGGGGTGTGGGGAGAGGTGGGTGACTTCTCTCCACAGTCTGAATTCGCTGGTTGGACTTTCTCCTTAAGGAGTCCTTTGGATTTCTGATCCATCTGTTTCTGCACTTCTCACTCCCTTTTCTGGGGTGCATGGGTTCAGGGGGGCGGCTAGAGGAAGGGCCGGGGGTTCCACGCAGGAAGTTCCTCTGGTCTCTGCGGGCACCTCAGCTGCTGGAACAGATGGACTCAGCGGAGGCTCACCTAGAGGGCTCCCTGCCCGCTGTGCGCGGAGGCGCAGATCTCGAACCCGCTGTGCCCCGCTCTCCCGAGGGGTCTCTGGAGGTCGACTGTGGGGCCCCCATTCCCGGGGAGAGAAGAAGGAACGTTGACCCCGCGGGTCCTGGAACGCTTTGCCCGGAGCCTACTCCCCTGCGGTGCGCCCATCCCTAAGACCAGGACTCCTTCCGCACCAAGACCCCTTTTGGAGCTTCAGCTTGGATGGTTCTGGGAATCCCACCCCCACCCCACCC